CAGCAGGACTTCAGTTCAGGTAAATTGTATTCTCCTTCCAGTCACTTCCCTCCCATATATTATCTCCAACAGTGTTGAATTACAACTTGGTTAACCACTTCTTTTTTGCAAGTAAATAGCCACTCACATTGAAAACAGGTACCAACCTCTCCTCCTTTATGAAATAACCTTTACAAACACCTCCAAGCATGCATTTTTGTTCATGTGTTTTATTAAAAATTTACATAAATGAACACACTCCAGCAATTGGGGTATGCAGATGTCCTAGGTTAAAAAAAATATACAAAATCCCAAGCCCTCATGGGCAGGGCAGCAGCAGGTTGAAGCGCAATCTCACTTCCTTTGAACAGTGGTGAAAGCTGGCATCTGAATGGGCTGGATTGAGTGGACCGGCTGAAAAACAGGCTTCTTCCGCATGTCGGAAAGTGTTTTCACAGAAGGAAGAAGCTGGTTTCTCTTGATGATCTGTAGTGCCAGCTGGGTGTTACCTACAAGACAACTTTTGATTAAAAAAAAAAACAGAAAAAAAAAAAGTACCTTTGTATGATTTAGAAATGACTGTTCCCAGAACAGGGCTGACAAGCCAGCCCTAGGCCCAGGCCACGTACACTAGCGGTCTTCATATTCAGTGAAATGCTGACACGGCCATTAAAAGTAGTAGATAAAAGTAAATGTGAAACAACAGTATTGCTTGATTCTACCTACCCTTAGCTGGAGACATTGAGCTTTTATCTCAGAGCTGGAAAATGCCAGAGCACCTTCTAAATTGCTGAAGGGCACCTCTTCTCTCCCCCATCCGCATAGTGAGACTCTAAACCTCACACAAAATGCCCTCACAATGTGACATTACAGACAGTAATGCAAATGTCAAGGGTGTATATACAACATGTTTTTAAAACAAGAAAGCTAATTTTCAATTGTATGCACGGCCCACCAAATAAATACCAATACAAATGGAAAAATTATTCTTTGCTAAAAATTAAACCTGTAAAATCGTAGGAGAAAACCCACTAAGTTCAGTGCAATCCTTCCAGTTTCCCCATTATGTAGGGTTTTTTCCCCATGCAAACACAGTGAACCTTCAGAAGGAAGGATTTTGGAAGAGGGAGTTACCAATATTACAGGCTTTGTTACAGTACTTGCTACACAGCCCTTGACATGGCTTCTTTGGGAGACCTGGATTGCAGCTGTCTCTTAATGAAGCGCCTTTCAAGCCCTCTTTATGCTATAAACCTTATCAAGGGTTTTACTGAGCCTATCCAAGTCTGCTGATTTCTGCACAAAGTATAGAAGATTTCAGCTCAGAAGATGAATGTTTAGGAAGTCTGGAGTGTGTAAGAACAGGATCGCAATAAACAACGGAAATGAAGGTGCGGATACATGGATCCATAGCAGTGTAAAATGGAGACGCAGCCTAAAGGGTGTCATTCGAAATCGTGGCACAAGTCTCTATATAAAGACTAGGAATGATGACTACTGCCCTCCTCCCCTTGTATCCCAAATCTAGGTCAACAGAACTTTTCAAAACTTAAAAATTTGTTTTAACATTTTGCCTACGAGGGCTAGCTGTAAAAAAGTAAAAAATCAAAAATGTTAAAAATATCAAGTTACATTCAATGTTGCAGCTTACCTATTAAATTAGGGGGTTTAATGTTGGGAAAAAAATTCCATTCCTTACCATTCTGTAATTCAAGATATACAGCCAGCAGAATAGCCTCTGGAGGGATCTCTTTGGGGTGGATCAGTGAAGCAGCCTTATTGAAAAAGAAGAAAGGGGTAGGGAGAGAAAGTGCTTAAGAGAAACATCTAGCTCGAAGAAAGCACCTCTTGACAAGACTGTTCCCATCACCTTAGCTAACAAAAACAAGTAACAATTGATAAACTAAGATAAGATTTTTTTGAAACTAATACACTTTTAGGTTTATGCATGCAAGTAGAGACAGAAAGATTATCTGCCTTGCAAGATAGTTTCACACCGATTAGCCGCACCATCTGCTGTATACTTATGTTAATATGAGTCTGTAATTCTTGGACCAATCTACTGTGTTTTCCTGGTGAGATGAGAGGTGAACAAGGCAACCTCCACTGCTCCAAAGTTCAGAATACAAAGTTCACAAGAATCATTCATTAGCTTTCCATATACAAGTATTTTTCAGCTATGAAGTCAATGAAGCTGTCTTTTACGTTGGCTCCGGATGCAACTCCCTACTCTTGATCTAGAGCACACTGGGTACACACCACTAATTTAATTTGGCCTGAAGGTCCCTGTGCTCCACCTGACAGGCGTCCTGAGTTGAGAGCCTCCAGAACAACACAGCTCTACAGAACTGCCTCCAGACATCCCAGACAGGTCCCTGCTGTCTGTCTCACCAGCTCCTACACCCAGAGTCACACCACGTATCACCAGACTCTGCTTCTCAGTTCAAACACAAAGGCCCTCTGCGCTTTTAAATCTTAGTGGGAAAGGAGTGGAGAAAGTAAGGGGGGAGGATGGACACCACTCAAACAAACAAACAAAAAAAAACCCACCCCATAAAACCCACCACAGCCAAGTTCTGAAATACCCTGTTCATCAATCCCTGCTTTCTCCCTTCATGCAAAGGTTAGTCTCTTAAAACACACTAGCCCTGCCCTGCGCTACCACTCTGGCTCAGGAACTCTGAACCACCATGTAAGTTTTGTTGTTTTAGGAAGTCTCTCTCAGGTGCTCTTCAGAATGGACAACTAGTATTTATCCAATTTTAAAGGTAAAACCTTACAAGAAGGCTACTACCTTAACAAGAAGTTGTCAGCAGTTATCTCAAATGTCTCAGCATTTCAGCAATAAACCTAGAATCTCACTCTTAACTTAAACACCTTGTAATACTTTTTTGGCCTTTATTCTGTCACTCAGTGGGGGCCATCTAGCCATGGGAACCATGCATCCCGTTTTGGCGAAGGATATGCGCTCCCTGTTGCTTCCCCTCCTACAGTGTAACTCCACACACAGAATAATTAACATGTGCATACAAAATAATTAATGTGTGAGGCTTCCCAAAAGCACTGGATTTATTGTAGATGCAGAGGCCTACTATACTTTATATCCACAGATGCCTTTACACTCCTTTGGGCTTTACACATGCGCTACGGAGCCCAAGCACAGACACCTGCCCAATCCTAAGAGGCCTCAGGAGGAAAAAGTGCAAGACAACTGCCTTAAGTGGTTGAGAACTTCACAGAAGTTGAACCTGTTCACCTATACAATTACTATGAAGTAATTTGGAACACTGCTGTTTCAGTTTGCAGATCGACAATGCATTTGATTAGTCTTCCTGACAGACAGGAATGGCTGCAAAGAGACAAACATATCATCATTGAAAGAGATCGGTGCCAGCCGTAAGAAGGACCAAATGACACAGGCTAAGTGAAGATGGAAAACTTCAAAAGTGGTACTTGAGAATTCCTGGGGCAAGAGCCAGGCAAGAAACATACCTCCAGCAGAACTGTAGTTTGTTCTCACAGCCCTAAAGTCAGCCTAGACGGAGAGTTAACTGATTAGAGAGAAGTAAACTCAAGGCCCAGAGAAGTAAACTCAAGGCCCTCAAGAACTTTCTCCTCTGAAATATAACAACTACTATTGGACCATTTAAAAAAAAAAAAAATTAGAAAAAGTGAAATGGCTTCCTAGTCATATTCCACTATTTTGATATGATCTAGGAAAAAAAAATGCTTCACATAGTGGTACTGAACTGTTTGCACAAGTAAGAAATTTAGAATTTCTTTATTTCATGTTACTAATATAGGTTGGTTCATAAAGACAGAATAGAGCTGCTATCTCAGCAAAGTCTGCAAATAAGCCTGGGCTATGAAATCACCTGGATTTGCTGTGATCTAAATGGCACTTTGAAGGAAGTACATTTGTCCCTAAAGCTGTCTTGAGATTATTTTCCATACCTGATGAAGACACTTTCGAGCTTTATCATATTCACTCCTCAAGCAATAAGCACTTCCAAGGTTAAACAACATCATTGTTCGTGCAGATGTGACCGAACTAGGATAACACTGTGGGGTTTGCTTGCCAGCTGCAATAAAAAAAAAAAAAATAAAATCTTTTTTTCTTACACTTTTATTCCAAATTGGCTAAGTAAGTTCCTGTAGTCTGCTGAATATGGTGGCTGGTACTTACAAGATTCCATCGCCTCATTTTCTCCTTTGTCAGATCCTACAAAGAAAAAAAACCCCACAAAACCATCATGTTCCATGAGCTTTTTGTATTATTTTGTAATAAGCTTTAAAAGATACAAATTTGCTTCTTTCTTTGTGGTCTGACATTAAAGAGGGAAAACATATCAGTTTGCTCAAGAGTTTATGCCACTTAAGACTTCCTATCTTTAATGTTTTGCTTTTAGATTTGCAGATGAGTACAGTGAAGTTTAAACTGCAGACATGACACTGCTATCAGAGCTGCTATAGACTTAACTATACAGATGGGCTCTGAAGTATTTTTCTGTAACAGAATACACACTCTGAACTGGAAGCACTGCAAGAAGATTAAGATACAGATTAACTAAGTTCTCCCAACTCCTATGTCCCACTAAATGCAGTAAGTAGACTTCACTGGTACTCCAAAGCCTGGTTTAGAGACTAAAAAGCTGGAAAAGAAGGTATGAACCCTAAATTTAACCACAATTGCACATTTGAGAAAAGCAGCTTTCAAAAGTTACCTTCAAACAAGCCAGAACACTACCATATACAGTTCTATTTACGTTAAGGAATTAGCTGCTTCAAAGGAATGACAAACATGCAAAAGACAAACCAAACACAAAGTAGGAACTAAAGCCAGGAAAACAAAAACACAACAACAAAAACCCCCCCCCCCCCCAACAACCTACAGTCTTAAAACAAGATGTCTTAGTCATCATTATATTTGTATATAGAAAGTTACAGCAAGAAGGCAGCTGGAAGCATAACCAGTTCTAATGAAGTGTGTATTCATTAACCTTGATCCTGCTCATTTGAAGAGATCCCAAGGGAAACATCAGTGACGTTCTCGGGGTTCAAGTGAGTGATCGCGTCGGATATTCTGTCCAGAGAGATGAGAGCTTCTGCTGCATACAAATGCCCAAGAAACCTACAACAGCAAAGGATTAGGTACAAACGTCAGCATAACAACCCCCACAATTTGTTATGTAAAACAAACTGAATGCAGCTTTTAATGTGAGCACGCGAATACTAATACTTGAAACACTTGCGTGAAAGTTACCTTGCTTATAAAGTACTGTCATCATACCCAGTTCTACCATTCACTGCTTTTAGGCTCTAATGTTGTGAAGAAATCTGCACCTGAGTAACGACCATTCATGCACAGGAATTGCCATTCCAGAAATACGTTATCTTGGTACGGCTTTTTATCTCAGAGAATTAAAAAAGGAATCCTTACAAAAACACCCCAAGATACGGATCCATCTATAATTTGAGGTGTTAAGTGACTTTACATTCAATATAAATCAAGCTAATTCTGTAAGATAACTGCATTTCTAAGGACAGCAACTATACAGGCCTGTCCATGGGGCACAATCGCCTTTCCAACTGCAGGTTTTGCAAAATAATTAAGCAAGTCTGATGTTTGACACTTGTAGTTCAGCTCAGCTAATCAGCAGCTTTCCTTTTCAACTTTGGAACAGAGGGAATCCTGTCGATTGAGAGCATAGTTAGCTTGCAAATATTTAATCTGAAACACAAAGTTGAGCAAAAAAGTTCACGCTTGTTCTATGTAGCTGTATACAGTACACTTCAAACTGACTGTATAGTTGGTTGTAATGAATTACAAAACATCAGTAAAATATGAGTCAATCATCCCAAATAACTTCTGCCACTTAGATCCGATACAGCAAACGTAACTTTCTCATGCAATTTATTTCACTTAAGAAAACAGGAACAGTTCAATATTCCTAATCTGCACAAAAGCCTAGTTTCCTGGGACGAAGATATATGGTACTCCGTCTTTGCAAAAAAACCTGTCATCTAGCATTTCTTGCATTACAGAATGGTAACACTGCCTCCACAAAACTGTGTGTTACCTTACAAACTCCTCTAGTATCTTACTTATACAATGACTGTGCAAAAAGATGAGCTTCTGCAGCAGTTTGAAGCATGGAAGCCAAAGAATTTAATTGGCATGGACCATTTCAGAGTATGCTGCCAGCATATAAAAATAAGCACAAGTTAGCTTGCTTTCCACAAGTACATCACCAGTTTTGAAAAATACTATTACTACCATAAAAACCTCTGCTATATTTTATCCTGGGTATGACATAGGAATAAAATGCACAAATGAGGTCAGAAGGATGGGGCTAAAGCTGCCTTTTTTGAATTTGCAGAGATGTATGAGAACTGGTGGGTAGAAACAGAATTAGGTTTGAATATTTTTCCCCAAAATACAGTGCCAAATAAGAACTGAAAAAGAGAAACCGAAGAATGGAACCTATATAAGCAACAGTAGCAGGTGAAGCGACAGTCCTGTATACCCAAGATCTGGTACCCTACTGACTGAGCAAACCTTCCCCTCCGAGGCTATAGTTTCATAAGCGAGCTTTCAGCGGCACGCTGGCTGGGGCTGATGTCGTCCACCCCCTGCTGCTCATTCCTGCCCCTCGTCCTGTGCCAACACGAGCACGTGCAGCCCCGCAGTGAATCAGGACAGAGAGCTAACAGTCCTGCCACTGCATGGGACCCATAGCTGGAGATTAACAAATAGCAACAAAAGCAGTGATAGATTCCGAATTACACGGAATTCGTACACAAACGAGGGGACTCGCGTTCCTGCGTGTCAATGAACATTTAGTCAGGGCTTCAACATGAACAGGAGCAGGCCAAGCAATTCTTTGCACCAGATACAGAATTGGCAAGCAGCTACAGACATTGGAAGCTTCAACTCAGAACTCTCCAGCAAAAAGCAGGGCTGAGAAAGAAGAAATGAGCACATCAGACTTACTTAAGAGACCCCGACAGCTTTGGTTGCTGAAGAAGTTTATCTGCGTGATTCAATGCCATAAGGTTATCACCCAAAGCCAGAGCCACGTAAGCACTACACGCAAGTATTGAGCACCTGGAGGGAAAAAAAAAAAAAAAAAAAGAAAAAATGAAAAAGGGGGGAAGGAAGCCAATATGTTAAATAGAGAATTCTGTGATTCCAAATGCAGCTGTTAAATTTCTTTCTTGTTAAATGCTGAAGAAATAAATCATAAACTTCAATAATGTCTTTGTGTCAAACTATGAAGTAAAGGAGCTAGCGTTTCATTATCTATGGCCTCAATTGTATTCTCTGAATTAGGAGACATATACATTGTGTTCTACCAGTAAAAACCAAGGACCATCATGGTGTGCTCAGTAAGATTTTTTGCAATTTGGACCACAAATAACAGATTCAAAAAAGATGAACCTCACCACATGTGTCATTTTTCTCATGGACAGTCTCCCTTTCTCACCCTCTTTTCATTCTTTTTGCCTTGCACTCTCATTTGTACTTCCCCGCCCTCCCCTTCTGCTGCAGCAAAGAGTAGCAGATTTGTAGATTTCTATAACATACAATCTACAAACACATAGTAGCAATCAATTAAGTTGTAACATATTTCACTCTTATACTGTACAATGTTTGCACACAGGGAGACAATAAACACTGGAGAATTTGGCATTTCCAGTTTTGTGTTCAACTGAGAGCTGTAATGTGCTGCCAAGACTCTGATTGATATGTGGTATTTTGTTGCTGTCACAGACTTTCTTATCTTTCCAAAACCACAAAATCTCTGACAGTTCCTGTAATGAAATCTGAACTACTCGCATTTTCCATCTTCAAACAATAACCCCACGCCAGGATGCCATCATTAGGCCAAGCTTCACACTTTGTAATAACTTCTCCCCTCCCTCCCCCCTCAAACACAGCACTTGGGGATATTTTCCACTATGTAAGACATCATTCAGCGCCGGCTGCCTTGTCCTCTGGGCACAAGCCTCTGCCCGCGATGCCTTGCTGTGAGCGTGGACTCTGTCCTTCTCC